CGTAAGCCCTGTTCTGTGTCCATCTTTCCCTATATCAGCTCTTCAATGACATTAAACCCCAGTAATGGCCTCTCTAATGACATCTTACCTACGAGGAAAGGTACTTTAATAGTTAAATTTGGATCGTAATTTCCGAAAGGGAGCGGATCCCCATTAACAGTTGAGACACTGAAGTCACCCCCGCCGACTATCTCAGAGAGGGGTCGAAGGTCTTTATCTGGTAAGTATTTTTTACTTTTCCAATTGTGATCAATTATACTAACCTGTGCCCCCGTGTCTAATAGAGTGCTTACTGAGAAACCGTTAATATGACTCTTAAGGACAGTTTTCTTTCCGATGAGCTGGGCTACTCAGTCGCAGGGACATTGTCTTGGGCATAACCGTGGGTAGGGGCCTGCTAATCTTCCTGACCCAGGTACTTCCTCAATGATTTGGGGCTGAGGTTGTTCGGTCACTGCTAGCCCCCCATCAGTGGCCGTGGGTCGTTTCCCGACACCCTGATAAACTCTGAGTATGTTAACCCTGAAATAAGGGAAACTCTGGGTTTTTCATTTCAGAATTGAAGGTTTGTCAAACCCGAGAAGCAGGGTAAGTCAAGCCCGTTTCTGAAAGAAAGATAACTTATACTCACAGTCAGTTACCATGGTAATTTACTTTGTGAACCTAACCTGGTCGGGAGCAGGTTTTTTTCGTTTAACCCAGAGTTTCTTTTGGTCTCCTCCCCCTTTTTAAAGTGTACCCTGATAACACACGTACATCACAGAGATGTCTATTTTACATCTGCATTTACATCTGCAAGACGTATTTTTTAGAGTGTTTGCTCATCTGCAATACGTCTATAGGAAGTTTCCTATCAGATGTCAAATAGATGTTTAGAAGATGTCTTTAAGATGTATGTGATTTAGAATGTATGTAAAACTGACGTCTGATCAGATGTTTGTACACAGCAGATGCTTTCGAAATGAAGCGATCTTTAACAGACATCTTGCAGACGTACGTGTGCTATCTGGGTAAGCCATGTTTAAATACCTCATTCATTCATTCACACTGCAAAAAATGCTTTTCTTAGTGAGTATATTGAAATTCAAATGAAGTGTATTTTACTTAAAACAAGATTATTTTTCTTACCCCATTGGCAGATAATTTGCAAAATAAGAAAAATACACTTAAAAGACTAAATACCTTATGTCATTTTTTGGTAACACTTTATTTGAAGGTATCCTTGTTACACATTGTCATGGCACGCCTACTGTGAAGGAGCGAGGAGACGAAGGAGAATCATCACAGACTCTATTTAACACCACAAATAAAGAGAAAACCACACGTAGGACACGGGGATCAATGTTCACAGACATTCAATACTGGACGACCAACTCAGAATAGGACACACTTTAAATACACGACATGATGAGGGGTTGACGAGAAACACCTGGGATCAATAAACATAATTGGAACAGGAAACAGGAAACACCAAATAAGGGCAACGAAGGCACATGGGGAGCAAAACACACACAAAACAAGGAACAGAGTCTGACACACGTTACATCTTACTATTATAATAACAATTAATTATACATAATTACATGCAAGTAACCCTAAACCAAACCCTAATCCTAACCCTAACCTTATAATAAGTACATGTAGTTAATTACTCGGTACTTAAATGCATAGTTACACTGTAACAAGGACACCTTAAAATAAAGTGTAACCCATTTTCTTATGTAGAAAATGCATCTTGATTTTACGGAGCCCCTAAAGGGACATGGTGGCGGAAAAAAATCAGATTGAGTGAAAAAATTTGGGGTGGGAGGAAAAAATATTTGTCAGATTTTTTGCGTTCTCTCGCAAAACTTTTGCGTTTCCTCGCAAAACTTTTGCGTTCCCTCACAAAACGCAAATATCTTTTGCGAGAGAACGCAAAAGTTTTGCCAGGGAACGCAAAATATCTTTGCGAGAGAACGCAAAAGGGAACGCAAATATCTTTTGCGAGAGAACGCAAAAGTTTGATTTAAGAATCTTTAGATATTTTGACTGGAAACAACAAGACAAAAATACTAAGTAAGAAAAGCATGTTTTGCAGTGCAGGTACATTCATTCATTGCACATATTTTCATCATGCAGACACTGTGAAAGTGACAGAAACTGTGTGTCCTTTTATACAGGTTCCTGTAGATAAAGTGGCTGCATTAATTCGTAGAGAGTTACATTTAGATTGGGAGAGGATTATTTTGATATTTTTGAACCTCGCTCTCATACTCTTTATGAGAAATTTGTGTAGTTTCCTGAGCACAAACCCATCGAAAATGAAGCTGATTACTTTAAGGAATGGAAGGATGCCAGATGGAAGGGTAGTTTGAGATATATGCCGTAACCACCACCACAGTGGTACATTTATTTGGTCATCTTTATTTCCTACAAATACAAAACCTTATTCTTTTTCCTGTTGCATTATAATATTCTTCCTGTACTTGGTATTGTGGCCATCCTCTTTATCTGTTCTTCATTATTTTGCGAGCCTTCTTGCTGTTGGCTGAGTAGAAGTCAAATGTTAATTTCATTACTCTAATTAAGAAATGCAACAGTTTGGATTTAATTATGTGAAAAGAGCATTAGACTATGTGGAAAAAGCTGCTTCACATTGAAATAGACACTGAATGATATTTATTTAATATGTCAAATGTTTGTAAAGTCACGTAGCCTATACCCATGAACCTTATGCTTAAAGCTTTACCTGATTGAATTATGTTTTTATACTTCATGTTTAGCTGCTTTTTCTCGTCTTCTTTTTTCTTTTGCATGTGGGATACCATAAAAATTAATATTAGTTCAATAACTTACTGTTCTGCCAGTTTTTACCTTTGATATTACAACAGTGATTAAGAATTAAAGCGGACGTCTTTTTGACGGGTGCTTTTGCCATGGTGAATCATAATTTCGGAGCTCCATTGATCATCATGACTTTTCATAGTCGTAGTGCACGTGCTAAACTCAGAGTCAACCTACTCAGAGTTGATTGAACTAACTCAGTTCAGTTATGCCAACCCGATCTCATGACCATTCTTACATTCGTACATTGACAAGGTGGCTAATTCGTACGACCTCACTCGTACGAATTCATATGATTTTTTAAAAAATCGTACGTATTTTATAAGGTGGCAAATTTGTAGGAATTCGTATCGTAGGACCACACCCAGAGCCGATCCTCCCTATACGTAAAATACGTAAGCTGCTTTGGGCCCCCGAAACATCAAGGGGCCCCCTTGCTCTCAAAGATGATTTAATTTTAGTTTCGTTTTTGAATTTGGCCAGCGGTTATGAAAACATGAATGATCATTTCTTTTAATGCGGTGCGCTGTCGCCCTTTCTACGTAAAAATCAGTCAAATCATGTAATGTGAATGTCATACAGTCTTGCTCGAGACTAAAAAGAACGAGTTGAAAGCGTACCGAGCCGTGGAAGAGACACTGTTTCTCAATCGCTTTCCGCGAGCGCGATTTGAGACGGAGTGAAACATGGACAAATGCGTTTCATTCATTCGTTCATAACCACTCATACCCCACTCCACCGCCCCCCCTCCCCCGCCGTCGACACAGTTTTGCGTTGGGCCCCCAGAAGTCTAGGATCGGCACTGACCACACCTCTAACCCTGCCCCTAAACTTAATCACATAAATCATAAAAAATCATACGAGTGCGGGCGTACGAATTAGCCACCTCATAAAAAATGTACGAATTGGCCTTGAGATAGCATTGGCTGAACCCGAAAAGTTTCCCGTCTCAGGGTAAGCCAAATCAGAGTTAAAGTTTCAACTCAGAGTTGGTTGAACCTCCTTATTGAAATGGGCCCCTGGGTAGATTAAGATTATACAAATTGTAGTCCGTTACTGATCCCAAATTACATGACAAAAATTGTAGTTAGTAGCACAATCCATTGCATTACACATTTTAGGTAGTATAATCAGACTTTTTTTTAAATTACTTTTAGATTACTTTTCACCTAACTTGTTTATCACATTGATTTAAATAGGACAATTTTGTACCATATTGATATGAAAATGCAAAGAAAAAGAAAATATATTTTCGATTTGTTGTTACTGACAACATGAAGTGCATTAAACATTACATTACATAATAAAGGTTTCCCAAACTAAATGTCTGACAACTCCTGTGTCCCCTGTACAGTATGTGTTAAAGGGGTCATATGACGTAGCTCCAAAGAGAAAGGAAAACTTGAAATCGCATCATATGACCCCTTTAAAAATGAAAACGTACTTACATGCTGTGAGTCAGCATTATTTGTCAGCATCATAGACTGTGGTCAGCATGCGCGCTGAAGGGGAAACAGGGGAACTGAATTCTGTAGAAGCTGTACAAGAAGCTGTGCTCAGTCTGGGTACTGTTTCTAAGGGGGCGTGTTCCCCCACACACACGAAATCACCTAACATCAGACATACTGTGCTTCAAAAATAAATGTATTGCTACAAACTGTTGTTTTTATTGTTTTTGCATCCTCAAAAAAATTAATCCAGGACTCGCAAATCTTCCCACATCGTGACATAGACATGTGGGGGCGTGTTTGAACGAAGCGTTTTAGGAGGGCGTGGACGAGTCTTAACTTTTATAAAGAATATCTCTTTGGGTTTGAGACTTTAGTCTTTGCAACTTTAGGGATCTTATCTATTCACGAACAGCTTGTAACACCCCAAAGAGAAAAGAAAACTTGAAATCGCATCATATGACCCCTTTAAGCAGTCACATGGGATGGCCATGTGTTTGAAACTGAAAGTAACAAGTGATGAATTATTGCCAGTAAGTAGCAATCTGGATACTGGAAGCAGTGTTGATTTTATTTTTTATAGCTGGGTGTGTTCTCAAATTACTTATAGGATAGCAGTAAAAAAAAACATGATGTTTCACAGATAAACTCATACATAAAGCTCTACTAAAGACAGAATTCATTGCTTTACTTGCCATTACACTTCTGCTGTGAAGGAAACGAGCATGAGGATGCTGCTGCGTCTAGCTGTGTGTGTTGCAGGGGTTATACTGCTCAACATAGCAGGTAAAATCTGATACATCTACAGCATAAATAATCGGTCTGTTTTACATTTTTGTTGCTTTTGGAAACTCATAGCAATGAAAAAATCTTTAATTTCATTTAATTACGTGTTGTTTTGTTTTTGCTAAAATAGTTTGAAAACTGACAAAAACGTATTTTCTTTGTAGCAGAAATATAGTATATATATATATATATTTTAAGAATATTTGAAGAATATTCTGCTCATACGTTGGATTGAACATAATGAAAGGGACTAAGGCTGTTAAGCTCCAAAATGACCAAAAGACAAAACTTTATAATTTAATTTATTTAAAATTTATAATTTAAAATGTTTATAATTTAAGGCATTATTAATTGAAAAATGTTGACACTGTAAAAATATTTCCACCTATTTCAACTTCAAACCGTAAATTCAGTTGTTACCTTAAATTTTTAAGTATAATAAACATGGATGTACATGGCTGTATAAGTCATTTCAACTTAAATGACTTTAAACCAACTTAAAAAATCAAGCTGAATTTCATGTAACATGTATATATATATATATATATATATATATGAAGTGTTCAGATGCAAAAGCCTCTAAGTGCCATCTGAAATTTTCATCTAAAATGACCATTTTTATCAAGCTCTTATATTTATGTTCAGTTCTTTCACTTTAATGGCATAGAAAACAATTTGCCATGACTTACTCATCATATTTTTTATAGTGAGATCTCAGTTCATTAGAGCTCATGAGAGAAGTGATGAACGAAACGTTTGCAGTAACCATCGCAGTGATTATCAGCTCAATGGAGTTAAGGATTATCAGTAGATAATTCATAATTTCAGACATCACACAAAACTGTATCATACAAATGATGAAATTTCAAATTTAGTGCAAGAGTCACTACTTTTATGATATTTTTATGATACACTGTAAAAAAAAGGTTCAATGTTTCTGGCATTACCATAGTCATTTTGGTGATTGTGTAAAGCATATCATTACCTACCAACATTCCTGAACTATGACCTACACAACATAAAATATAACAGAAAACACCCTGATGTTCAGAACTGATAAAAATATCAAGATAACTATTTCTATAAAATGCAATCAAATGTGATGTATCATGAATGTTCTTTTACTGTTTTAACCATCAATTAAAGATTGATTCATATATTTACTAACAAACCGATTTAACAATACTGTAAAAGTATGTATTGCTGAATACAATATAGATATTAATTCGTACTTTTTACTGACAAAACCCATAATTTTTCATTATTTTACAGTAAAAGTAAATGTTTTGTTCCATTAAATTTTATATATGTAATAATATTTTTTAATTCTATGGTAATGCAACTTACAGTTATCCATATAACAGGTTTTTACTGCAATGTGTTTTCATTCTTTTCCATTTTCCATTGTACTTTATACTGCTTTTGTGTCCTTCAAAGCTTCAGTTCCCATTCATTGTATAATGTCGGCTAACAGTACATCATTCAGAATTGCTCTTTTTGTGTTCCTCAATAGAAAGAAAGTCACACAGGTTTAGAATGATGAGTACATAATGACAATTTTTATATTATTATTACATGAGTGAACTAAGTGAACAGTGCTAATGTGAATGTGAAATATTGATTGCAGGCTATTCAAACCAGTTTATCAGCTCTGTAATTTTAAACATTTCTAATCCGTTTAGTATCTAATTATTTGTTTTTCTTCTTCTTTTTTTCCAATATAGGCTCACTCTGCCAGTTAAATGGTAAGTTTCTGCACTCTTAATTACCATTCAAATGCTTTTGCTGAGGTAGAACTAGATTTTGTCCATTTAGAATTGATTAGGTATTATGACAGGCATAAGGACAGGAGGGATTTCAAATGAGGAGCAAGTTATTACATTTCAATAAAAGATTACAGAAAGGCTACAAATATTTATGTTGATCTTATCTCCCACATTGAATACCCACTTCTTCTTTTTTTTTCATCAGTGTGTGGCCGAGCCCCCCTTAACCCCAAGATTGTTGGAGGACAAAATGCAGTTGAGGGGTCTTGGCCCTGGCAAGCGAGCATTAATTATGTTCCAAATGACGGTCTTGTATGTGGTGGGAGTCTAATCAATAAAGACTGGGTTTTGTCTGCAGCTCAGTGCTTTCAGGAGTATGTAGTGGCATAACGTTGCATATATAGATAGATAAACAGCGGAATTAATACAGATTTTTAAAAATATTTATGTTTACAGATTGACTGCATCGACCACAGTAATCTACTTGGGACGTCAATGGCAAATAGGCACAAACCCCCATCAGATTTCCAGAACTGTGGCTCAAATCATCATCCATCCTAAATATCACCCAGATAAATTTGACAACGACATAGCACTGGTCCAGCTCTCCTCTTCTGTGACTTTCAATGATTATATTAGGCCCGTCTGTCTGGCGGCTGCTGGTAGTACATTTGCTGCGGGTACTGAGAGCTGGATCACTGGATGGGGAAAACTTAATTTTGGAGGTGAGGGCAACTTAACACATTTCCACATGTGTTCGGTCCACATGTCCAAGGTTATAAAACTTTATTTTGATAGTCCACTGGCATTCTACTAACTATAAGTAACTTTGCAGTATTAGTAGACTGTCCAATTAAATATCTGCAAACACTTCATTTTGATAAACTGATATTCTACTGAAGTAACTTTGCAAGTTCATGTCAACTTATTTTACTAACCCCAACCCTAACCTAACAGTCTACTAATACTCTAATGAAAGTTAGTTGACATGCATGTGCAAATTAATGAGTTAGTTGACATGTTACTTAGTAGAATGTCTAAAGTGGACTATTGAAATAAAGTGTAACCTAAAACTTTGTCATCACATGCAAATGACTATAGGCCTGTAACTATAATGATAACTATAAGCATAAAGTTTTAATAACAGTTCACACTACAACTATAATGATAAAGACAGAGTGGAATGATGTCATTGGAATCACTGACTGTAAAGAGCTAGGGCTGTACAATTATTCAAAATAAAACTGAAATTGCATATATAGCTGTGGTGTTATTAAATAGTCTGTAGGCCTGTTTATTTTATTTTCACATTACCTCCACTGCTCACCAGCTGATTACACACAACTAAACGGAGAAGTGAGGAAAAAGGTGGATAAACAGGATGCTGTCATCCTTTGGTGTAGACAAAAATGTAGTTATCATTATAGATTATTATAGTTAACATTCTTGGTGTGAATTGGTCTTAAAACTGTGTTTTTTAATACTGATTTATATGCAACAGACACCACTCTTCCAAACACACTGCAGGAGGTGAAGATACCAGTCATCAGCAACAGTTATTGTAAATCTATCTATGAAAGCATATTTACAGACAACATTCTGTGTGCTGGACCAATTGAGGGTGGGAAAGGCTTATGTCAGGTAAGACATCAGTCAGTGTCTGCTTACAGATGCTCAGTATATTGGCATGATGTAAATGTGAAGTGCTTGTCTATGCAGGGAGATGGTGGAGGTCCACTGGTTATTAATGGCTCGCAGTGGATTCAGTCTGGCATTACGAGTTTCAGCGTACAGTGTACAGCACCCAAGTACCCTGGTGGTTACACCAGAGTGTCTCGCTACCAGGACTGGATCAGCTCTCAGATAAAGAGTGACCTGCCTGGATTTGTGGAATTTAAATCCAGTGGATTCAGAAGCTCAAACAGCCTCCCCCTATTTTCCATTTCACTCACATTTTCCATCTTTCCTCTCATCTTCTCTCTGTTTTGTTAAAAATTTAGTCATAATAATCAGTGATATTAACTGTTAAGTGTAACCTATGAAGAAGACATTTTCATTTCATTTGGAAAGTATTTATCACCAATAGAAATATGAATGGAGGAAAACACAACACTCAATATGTAGGAATGAATATAATTAAAGCATAATTTTCACAGGTTCAGACACGGGAGATTCTATGTGTACTGTATCATTGATAACTGCCCAAAAGCATAGATAGCAGCAGAGTGACTTGCTTAAAAAAAGACTTTAGCGTGTATCAATCATGTTTCACACAATAAATCATCATTGTATTAATAGACTGTCTGCTTACTTTTTTTTTATTGGTTTGGTGCTATTTTCATAAGTAAGGTGTATATTTTCAAAACTCTTAGTACAAACATCCAAACTGATCACACTTGTAACATCACTAGTCATTCTCTCAAAACTGATCTAATTAATTTCAATTACACATATTTTCATCCACACAATCATTTCAAAACATAAGATTATTGTAATATATATTGAGAACATTTGATTTAATCACCTAAACACAACATTGTGATCTTCTCTCAATTTAGTACTTTTAACAATCAATTCATTCAAGAGCAAACAATGCAAGATACATGTTTCAAAATCCCTTGTTTGCTGAAATAATTACAGTAATACAGGCAATAATTGTCATGTTAGAAAATACACTTACATTACCTAACTTGCATAACTCACATAAAATCCATAATGTTTGTAAAAGTATTTATGCAGTGTGTTATCAAAAGGTGTTATGAAGGTATGACATGGCCATAAGGTTTTGTGCTAGAACAGAGTTTACTGTCAATGCAGTAAATGTCCTCACTGTGCCATATGACTGAATCTATACTGGAGCTGAACTTTTCAGATGGAAGGTGAGTTATGTGCAGTCTCTACCATGGTATAAGCCTCTACATACAGTATCACATGGCATAACGTAATTTAAAATGCTGTATTTGATGCCATCTGTCTCCCTTCTTCTGATACATCTCTGATCAATCTCTGATCAGTTCCTCTCCCTTGTATCCAGCTGTATGTTCCCAAATTACAAAACACACACACACACACACACACGCACACACACACACAGAATAGTGGTTATCATCTAAGATAAATCACTTAGTGTAAAAATAATTAATTTCAATTGATTATCCGTAAATTGCAAACAAGTTCTCTAGAAACTATATCTACTGAATCTATATCTATAGATGCACCAATTGATTCACTGATTAACCATTAAGATGTGTTAGATTAAATAATAGACAAATGTATGAAACTGAATGAGAAGACATGCAAATGAAAACTTTGATAGTGAGAGCTTTATGAAATGCTGTTACTGTGAATGAAACATTTTTATAGATGAAATACTTATTTTGTTTAGTGAAAAGGATACTTTGTGATTGTGTGTATTGTACTAAGACAAGTGAATATATGCTGAAATGTTTGAAAAAGGTGCGCTTTTGATGATCTGTTGTGATATTAGTACTAAGAGTTTGGAAAATGCACACTTTATGAAAATAGTACCAAACCAATTTAAAAAAACAACAACTGTAATATCCAATGACACTTTATTTTTTGATGGTCTCTCAACTGATATTCTACTGACTATAGTAATTTTACATGTACATGTCAACTTATTCTAATAACCCTAACCTAGCAGTCTACTAATACTCTAATGAGAGTTAGTTGACATGTAATCACAAATTAATGAGAGTAAGTTGCAAAGTGACTTATAGTAGCTTAGTTAAATGTCTAAAGTGGACTATCGAAATAAAGTGTAACTTTTCGTAACCAAGGATAATAACTATCTTTTAACATGCATAAGCAGTGTACAATGGAGTTTGAACTAAGATCTTAAGTAATTAAGTTTAGCAGACAGTTGATCAGTTAATATTTGATCTAAACTTGAAACACAAATAATATGTGTAAAGTCAGTCATCTTCACTTTGTGTCACTGTGAACTGATATTATGATAAAGCAACACAAATGCACTGCAGTCACCTTTGTATTTAAATTAAATGTTGTTGTACAATAACATTTTGTGTACAATAACCTAATACCTTGTCTCAGGGCCTTAAAGATCAAAACAACCAAACTGTGTTCTGAAATGAACTGGGTATCTGTAACTTATGTACACCAGCCCTAGATGTATCTGAAAACCTGTACTTGATTTGACCAGTTTTGATGTTATGTCAACAAAATAAACTTGAAATTAAAAAAAATTGTTTTTCTGCTTTATTCCCTGCACAGAGCTGGGGCCCGTTTCAGAAAGGAGGTTAAGTGAAAACTATGAGTATGTTAACCCTGAAATGAGGGAAACTCTGGGTTTTCTGTTTCAGAATGGGAGGTATGTCAAACACGAGAAAGCAGGGTAAGTCAAGCCCGTTTCTGAAAGAGAGGTAACTTATACTCAGGGTCAGTTACCGTGGTAACTTACTCTATGAACCTAACTGGGTCTGGAGCAGGTTTTCTTCAGTAAACCCAGAGTTTCTTACGATCTCCTCCCCTTTTTTAAAGCGTAAGCGATGCTTAAATGCCTCATTCATTCATTCATTCATTCATTCATTCAGGCTGCAAAAATGCTTTTCTTACTGAGTATTTTTGTCTTATTTCAAGTACAAATATCTAAAAATTCTTACGTTAGGATGTAATTTCTATAGATGAAAAATGATATAAGGTATTTAGCCTTGTTTCCTGGGGGAAACAAGTGCATTTAAGTGCATTTTAAGTGCATTTTACGTAAAACATGTAAAATTGTCTGCTATAGGGAAAGAAAAATAATCTTAATGCAAACAGAAACAAGAATATTTTTAATTTCTTACCCCACTGGCAGATAATTATAGCAAAATAAGAAAAATGCACTTAAATGATTTTTTCCCCATGGAAACAAGACTAAATACTTTATGTCTTTTTTATGTAGAAAATGCATATTGATTTAAGAATATTTTGACTGGAAACACGAAGACTAATTCTAAGTAAGAAAAGTCTTTTTTGCAGTGCATGTATTCATTCATTGCGCATATTTTCATCATGCAGACACGGTCAAAGTGACAAAAATGGCATCTCCTCTTATACAGGATCCAGTAGACGAGGAGGCTGCATAAATTCGTAGGGAGTTTTTTTTGTTGTTGCCATATTCACATGAATATTTATTTGAGCGGTACCATTTTAAATGGTAGTTTTCTTTAAAACATTGGAGATACAGAGCACATTAGTAAGACCACTGTATGCAGACTGATAAGGAAAGTGCACGTCACTCTCACACTGTTTCTGAGATTTTTTTCCTGGGCACAAATCCGTCAAAGATGAGTTTCACTGGACTGTAGGTCAGTGGTGTAGAAATCGGTTTAAATGAGGCTAATCTGATAAATGATGTTCACTTAATAACAGCTTGCTGCGACCTCTGTAAGTAACCCAATAATTAGATTTTTCTTCAGGATTTCCAGTGTGGTTGGATGCATTGATGACACGCATATTCCCACCATCGCACCATCTGAAAATTAATCGGATTACTGTATGGAAGGATGCCAGATGGAGGGGTAGTACGAGATGCTGTAAACACCACCACAGCTGTTAAATAACTAAACATTATTCACAATTTATTTGGTCATCTTTATTTTCTACAAATACAAAAGCAACAGTTATTCTTTTTCCTTTCGGATTTTAAAATTCTTCTACTTGACCATGTCCTCTTCATCTGTCAGTGGTGCTGGTGCAGGTTCTCCCCTCATTTCGCGAGCCTTTGCCTTCTTGCTGTCGACTGAGTAGCCTACAAGTCAGTTGTTAATTTCATTACTCTAATTAAGAAATGTAACAGATTTGATTAGAGAATATTTAATAAGCCTATGTGAAAGAGCGTTAAACTATGTGGAAAAACCTGCTACGCATTGAAATAGACACTGAATGATATTTAATATGTCAAATGTTTGTAAAGTCATGTAGCCTACACCCATGAAACTTTTATGCTTAAAGCTTTACCTTGATTAAATTGTGTTTTTATAATTCATTTTTAGATGCTGCTACGTTCTTTTTCTTTCCTTTTTTTTTTTGCCTGGATACCATGAAAATGACATTTAGTTAAATAATTTACCATTTTTACCTCTGATATTATAATAGTGATTAAGAATTAAAGTTATTTATTGGCTCGGAAGTATGCCGACGTCTTTTTGTCAGTGCTGTTGCCATGGTGAATCATAATTTCGGAGCTCCATTGATCATGACTTCTCATAGTCGTGGTGCACGTGCTAAACTCAGAGTCAACCTACTCCGAGTCGACTGAACTAACACCATGTTTCATGTTCCTGTCATGTGTTTCCCTACCCTGTCATGTGATCATGCTATTGGTTCCTTTGTTCGGTGTGTCATGTTTTTATTGGTTTTCTTAGTCATGTGTCTTGTTTCTCATTGGTTGGATTGTGTAATTTGACCTGTATTGTTTGTTATAAGTAGCCCTCATGTTGCCATTGTCTCTCGTCGAGTACCACAAATCATGAACCCTGCAGTTGACCTTCTTTGTCTGCGTCAGGGGAATCATCCTCTCGAGGTCTTTGTAGCAGACTTATATGAACTTGCTCATTTGATGGACTTTAATGATGTGGCATTAAAGGATATTTTTCATCATGGGTTAAACTAACCCATTTTCTCACAGCTTCCTGGGGGAAAGATACCCTGGTCCCTGGTGGAATACATAGATCGTGCCCTTCTGTTGAGTGGATCCTCATTTACTTCTATGCCTCGACCATCATGTCAGGATTTGCTCACGTCATGCCTGCCAAGCCAGAGCCTGCTCACGTCATGCCTCCCACGCCAGAACCTCTGCACAAGATGGCCACCAAACCAGAGCATCTGCACAAGAGGGCCGCCATGACAAAGTCCCCGGCCAAGAGGGCCGCCATGCCTGATTCTTGACCTGTCAGGCCAAGGGCCAGGGCAAACGAGATTGATTGCCAGTGTGATGGACCCACCTCTGATGTCAGTGCGAGTGGCTGGCATCCCAGTGGTCTCTCACAG